AGTGACCACAGCCTGGTCCAAAACAGGGGGAGGAGCTGGTCTGTGACAGTAACATCTTGCTCTGCTGCGGAAGAGTAGCATGACCATTAGTCTCATATTCCTGCTTGCTGCAGATCAGCAGGGCCAAATGTAGAGGCACTGAAGGTTCTCTTCCCATCCTTCTCAATTTCCACACTCAGTTTCTTAAGAGGTCTCCCTCTCCAGGTTCAGCATCACCAGCCCCTGCCAGCATGGGACATCCACTGCTCTAACCACTTTAAACTCACGTAGCAGTGTTCCACTCCTACCTTCCCATGTTTGGGATCTGATTTCAGTAAAAATGCGTTCAATATCATTAATTCACTTAGGTGGTTACAGAACTAATCTTAGGTACTGTGTTGAACTCAAGGACCAGCCTGAAGGAGCTGCATCAATTGAATTAACCTTTATTTGAAATATTTTTCTAAGATAAGACCTTTAGAAAATAGGATTCCCATCTAAGTAGAAAACATTTCCAATTTTTATTACCAGGGAAGCATGGCACAGCTTCAGGAGCAGTGATATTATTACTATTTTTTTTAAGTTTATGAGGCTTGAATAAAGTATTTTTCCCAGCTGGGAAAGGACTGCATGTTCAATTTAGAGTAAAAAAAAGCCTTCTATCAGTTATGTTGGAAAGAAGCTCTGACAGGGACATATATTGCAGTCCACTGAATCTCAGAGGCGGAGGATAAATACAATTTCACATGAGCAGACAGCTGAGATTTCATCTTAATCTCATGAGGGTTTTATTTGCCAGTAACAGCAGAAGCAGATCAAATGCAGGGTTGCAACAGCAGTTTGAGAGCGATTGCTGAGAAACTGCCTCACTCTATTTCATGCTTAGCTCTTGCATAATTTTTGTTAATTATTTTATTTAGTTATGCAGCTTCTACAGCTTCAAATTTTAATTCCCCCTCACCCCCAAAATACAGCAATAGTGTTATGGAGATAGAGCCGCTTTCACTGCAGATACTTTCCTTATGCATGTTTTAGAAGGTCTTACGGCTATTTTGGCATTGCAGGGAAAGTCAGGTTTTCATTCCCAATATATGTGCAGCAAAGTCAAGCCTATCTGATTATCTTCTGCGATAACTAGGATTCCTTTAGGATGCAGTCAGTGACAGTTGTAACACTACTTAAGATCCCCAGTGTTTGGTATGGCACTATAAAGGAAGTAGAGGCTGGCTAGCCACTGTGACAGCCTCTTGCAAAAAGGGTAGGAAGGAGAATTGTGGGAACCTGTCAGCCTGACCTCAACAATGAGGAAGGTTATAGAACAGATTACCTTGAGTGTGATCACATAGCATGTGCAGGGGATCAAGCCCAGCCAGCATGGGTTTAGGAAAGGTAGGTCCTGCTTGATTAACCTGATATCCTTCTATAACAAGGTGACCCACCTAGTGAATAAGGGAAAGGCTGTGGATGTAGTCTCCCTAATATTCAGTAAAGCCTTTGACACTGTCGCCCATACCATTCTCTGGGAAAAGCTGGCAGCCCATGGCTTGGACAGATGCACTCTGTGCTGGGTTAAAAACTGGCTGCATGGCCAGCTCCAGAGACTGGTGGTCAACGGAGTTACATTCAGCTGGTGACTGGTCACTAGTGATGTTCCCCAGGGCCCAGTATCTGGGCCAGCCCTGTTTAATATCTTCACTGATGATCTGGACAAGGGGATCAAATGCACCTTCAGTCAGTTTGCAGACAATACAAAGCTGGGTGGGAGTGTTGATCTGCTGGAGGGTAGGAAAGCTCTGCAGTGGGATCTTGACAGGCTGGATCAATGGGCCAAGGACAATGGTATGAGGTTCAACAAGGCCAAGTGCTCAGTCCTGCACTTAGGTCAAAACAAGTCCATGCAGTGCTACAGGCTGGGGGAAGAATAGCTGGAAAACTGTCAGGTGGAAATGAACCTGGGGGTTCTAGTCAATAGTCAACTGAACATGAGCCAGCAGTGTGCCCAGATGGGCAAGAAGGCCAGTGGCATCCTGGCCTGTATCAGAAGTGGCCAGAAGGACAAGAGCTGTGATTGTTCCCCTGTACTCAGCCCTGGTGAGGCTACACCCCAAACCCTGTGTCCAGTTTTGGGCTCCTCATTACAAGACAGACAGTGAGGTGCTGGAGCATGTTCAGAGGAGGGCAACAGAACTGGAAAAGGATCTGGAGCACAAGTTCTATGAGGAATGGCTGGTGTTGTTTAGCCTAGAGAAAAGGAGGCTTGGGTAAACCTTAGTGCTCTCTACAACTATCTGAAAGGAGGGTGTAGCAAGGTGGAGGTGACCCTCTTCTCCCAGGCAGCTAGTGAATAGGATGAGAGGAAATGGTCTCACGTTGTGCCAGGGGAGGTTTAGACTGGATACTAAGAAAATTTTCTTCACTGAAAGAATAGTTAAACAATGGAGCAGGCTTCTCAGGGAGGTGGTGGAGTCATCATCCCTGGAAGTATTCAAAAAATGAGTAGAGGTTCATGGGATAGGGTTGCATTAGTCAAAGGTTGGACTTGACAATCTTGCAGGTCTTTCCCAACCTTAATAATTCTATGGTTCAGGTAAGCACATAGCTACTCTCTGAAAAACACAGGCCCTGTGTTTTTCTCACCTTCCTCTCCTCTCTCTCCCCCATACACTGTCAGAACATGGTTAAATTCCTTGGGACAAAGACTTGTTATTCACTTCTGGGCATTAGGTATTTTATGCAGAGCTTTGACTCAGGTTAGGAATTAGCATGGGAAAGCAATAACATTTAACAGCAATAATGGAGAGTGCATTGAATCGAAGGCTCTCATGTTACCCTTGTACTGTGCTGTACTCCACAAAACCCAGTGTTATTGATAGGAGGAACAGCAGTGATTGAATTAGGCTGGAAATGGAGCATTCTTGATTGTCCTGAACCATCTCCTGGTAGGATGATTTCAGTTTTCCTCTTTGATAATTTGTCTCCCTTTCACTCTTTAAGGCAGGACCCTGTTGTTTTATTATCGATATTCTAACCTCTGCAAGATGGTCAATGATATTATGCTAAGGCGCTATGTCAAACTGTGAAAGAAAAAGGTAAAAGAAATTTGTAGAGGAAGAATATATAAAAGTAGCTTGCAATTGCTTCCAGGAATAAAAAAAACACAAACAAAAACAACACTCAAAACAAAACAAACAAGCCAACAAAAACACCTACCCAAAAAATCTATTTATAGACATTTGTCTATAAATAGATAAGTTTTTGAAAGGATTGTGCTGTTAGTAAGCCAATTTTTAAGAACAACAAATGGCAAGGGCTAGATTCATGTCGTTCAGAAACTCTGCCATTTACCCATTTTAAATCAAGTGTCAATTAGGCTGAGCTAAGGAGCAGTAGGAAAAAACATGGAAGCAGTACAATATATTTGTAATATTATTAAGCATATAGACATTCCTGTATCTACCTGGCTGTGCATGAGTGCAGATTGGAATGCAAGAGCAGGCTTTCATGATTCACCACTCTTGCATTTTTTAAAAGGTTTTTGTTTGTTTTAAGAACTGAATTTGGAATGATCAACTGTTAATCCGATTAATTTCAGGCTGTCTTCTCTGCAACAGAAAAATATATGTAAAAGACCGACTCAGCAGTTTGGTAGTCTAGCCAGAAACATCCACAGCTAAACGCTGTCAGATTGAGAGGTTAACCTTACTCCTTTAATCCTTAAAACTAAGGAAATGAAAACACTAAATTCCAGTCCAAAAGACCAGTTCACTGCACGTGGTTTTCAAACAGTCACAGCAATGCTGACAGGAGCTACCCAGGTGTCTATGAACTTACCTTTTTAACTCCATTTCTAACTGTTTTCATGGGTGAGGGACTCCATTATCTATGCATATGGAGGTCTAAGTGCCAGCAACTGGAGTAGGAACAGGGGTCACAGAGGTCCATGCATCTGCAGTGCTAGCAAAACACGTATTGCTTGAATACGTATGTCTGCATAAGCACTTACAAATATTAAAATGGACTTGTTGTAAAATAAGATAAGAGCACTGGGAGCCAGGCATCAAAGCAGCTGAAAGTTTGGCCAGGCTACTGGAGGAACCAGTGAGTCCAAGTTAGATGCTGGAAAAAGCACAGGATGTGAACCTTAAACAAAAGTTCCCAAACCAACACGCAGACCACTGACACTCCATAACATGGACTACAGTATCCTGTTAAGCAGCAAAATTTAGTCTTCCATACCATAAATTTGAGGGATGTTACGGGTGTATTAACACTAACACTAATCCATTAGCTTCAAGTGATGGCGCACAGAGGGAAAGGCAGCAGAGAGGTGGTATCAAGTTTTGTTAATGTGCAACTCTAAGCCACATTCTTAAACCACTTCCATTAGTTTTTACAACACAAGTTTTATTGCTGTTGCTTATTCCAAAGGTCATTTGCCATTATCAGTTCACCTGAGTGGACACTTCTAATAATAATTAAAGACATGACAGGAGTTAATTGGGTAGTTAACAGGCACATAAAGCATTACATTACAGTGCATGTACAAGTTACTGCCATGTGGAGCACAGACAGCATTTTAATCTGAGCACTGCCAGAGCTTTGCTCCCATTATCTGTACAGAAGTACAAAAGAATTTAAGGCACATGTGACCTGCTGCTTTGAAGTAACAGTGAGGCTAGAGAGATCATTCAGAGAACTTGTCTTCAACTGCTGTTTCTTGACAAGACTTGTTTCTTCCATGCTATAAAATTGAAATGCAGTATAAAAATACTTTTCACAGGTCCAGCAGTTCCCAGTCTAATTTCAATATTCTAATGCTATAATATTTAAGATTGAGGTACATTAAGAGTGCAAATTCTCCTGGAGTTTCTTCAGGATACCACATACAGTACAAGAGAGAGACTAATCCTTTCCTATTGCTTGCCAAGAGAGGCTGCATTTTAAGTTAAAACAGTTTTTCTTAGAGTCTCCCACAAGACATATTATCCAGAGGTGTTATTACTGCTACCCAGATTCCTCTTACTGCAGGGAGAGTGAATGGGATTCCATAATTTAAGAACACTCCTCGAATACAGCTTCTACATTTTAGAATCAATTTCCTTTCCATGGTCGTCATCATCCTTTTTGTCTTCTTTTTCTTGCTCATTAAATTGGGCTTCAATCTCATTTGGATCAACATAGGTATAAAAAGTAGCCATGATAGCAAAAATGATGCAAACTACGAACAGCAAGGCAGCAAACAGCACATACTCTGCCCACTGAAAAAAAAAAAAAAAAAAGGCATAAATTATCCACCAATATTAATTTCTCAAGAGTATTGCAGCATTATTTTAGTGTTTGCAAGAAGAGAATTCAGAATATGAAACTGAGTGTGCCTAATAAGTATCATATGGCTTGCAGGACTAAGTATTAGATGTATATAACACATATTAAAGCAACTGAAAATTGAAGTTCTTTCAGTAGTTCTGTCTTCACTGAAAAGACAAAATTTCTGTGAATGCTGAAATGTTCAACAATATCCCTTTTCCTGGAGGAACTGGAAACTGAATGAAAAGGAAACTCAGCACCTCAGTCAGGTAATCTCAATCTAAACCAGGCTGCCAGTGATTCTGCTTCCACTTAGATTGGCTGTGAAAAGTTTCTACTGACCACAAATGTGGGTAGAGATCAAGACCAGAAACTCTAGTTTCAAAGTACAACATCCACCTGAAAAGCCTCGACACCTGTTTCATGCTCTTTCTGGTTAATTTAGCTGAAACTGGGACTGCCAGACCTGTTTCAGAGACAGGCTTTTCCCTCTCTCAAACTTTTTGATCCATTAGGGAGTGCCACTAATAGAAAGTCGTGTACAAGTGTTCTTTACCAGAAGAATCACAGCTTTCATGCCTCAAAGAATGAGGTTTGAAACCAATGGAGCCAGAAGGGATATGGCAGGACTGTGGTATGCAGGTGAGGGCTCATTAACAATTAACAGAAATTGGGTAGGTTTTAATTCCATTAGTTTAGAATTTCAGCTCAAATGGTCAGACTTTCTACACCGTGAGAAGAAATTCACTGCAGAGATGCTAGAAACTGCTGCTCTCAAGCAAAGGACCCTGACAGCAAGAGTTAAGGATGGCAAACAAGACATAAGAGGTAGAAGCCTCTATTGAAGAACTATTCGTTCAAATTCAAAACTAGTTATAAACTAGTAACTTATAACTAGGTTATAAAGATTGATAGCTTTGTTATTTATATACTCTAATGAGATTACTCAGTCAAGAACTAGTTCTGCAACTGACCAGTACACTCTTGTAGCCAACACTAACCTCTCATATTCCAGTTTTAAATGCAAATCCACCATAACGCAGATGTTCAAAAGCTGTGGTTGAGGGTTATCTGCCATGAATACCCCCTGGATTAGAACTGCTTTCTCACAGGGTAATAGAATAGCATATACTTATTGCTTGTGTGCTTACCTGCTTGCTGAGTTTAGATGCTCCAGCTACAATGAGGACAATTATGTTACCAACAGCCACACTCAGCAGCCATCCTGCCTGCAGCACTGACTTCATGTTAGGCGGGGCCTGTAGACCACAGACATTTAAGTTTCAGGCAAACACTGCTGTGACTCATTTTCTGATGTTTGCTGCATTCTTTACCATGCAACAAACACTGGTTCTTTGCAGGTGTAGGGGGAAGAGGATTTCTTGGTTTGGTTGATTTTGGTGGGGGTTGGAGTTTTTTTGTTTTGGTTTGATTATTTTTTTTAAGTAAAATTTTCTAAGGAACTAAACAGGTCTGGAGAATGCTTTGAGAAGCAAGAGATCACTAGTACACTAACTATAACACCTCTAACTTTACACACACTGAGTAACTAACAGGTACATTTTACACTTTGCAAATACAAATGGTACACCCAAAATGAAGGAACTGAATGCATCATCATCTACCAAGCCACATCTTACAATGTTCCCATCACTACAGCTTCTAGACTCAGAATTAAGGGAAGAAATACACACCTAATAAACTGGAATCAGAAGACAAAGGAATTAAAAGAGTATAACTAAACTGCTGCTGGTGTGGAGATAAGGCGTCAGTATTTCTTTATTTTATATTTGAGTGCTCTCCAGTTCGGTTTTATGGCAGCAGTACAGTTACACTTATTTTCAATGGAAAGTCACATGTGAGGAGGAAATTTGAGGCCTGGTGGTCAAGTCTTCAAATTATATAATTCAGCATAGCTTCATTTAAAACACTGAATCCTAGTGAACCAGGGCCAACTTGCATCAACCTATACAGTCCTGCTAGGGAGCTCTAAAGGATATAATTGATCAAAGCAGCAGCGCAGAACCACCACTTATAAAAACAACAGATCAAAGACCTTAATTTGTATCAGGATTCTTAACACAAGAATAGCAAAACCTACCTGTGAGTATGAAAACTCCAGCCCAGTGACAGAGAAGACTACTTCTCCACATGTAAGAAGAAAATACTGAGGGATCTGCCACGCCATATGGACTGAACTGGGTGGAATATCTTCATAATATGATATATTAAGAATACCTTGATTACACTGGAAATTAAAATAGTGCGTTAGGAACAGTAATAGAAAGTCTGCACACTAAAGACACTCTAAGTAGTTCTATAATCATATACAAAGTTCTGGGTAAATAAAAGATGTTGCATATGAAGAGCTGCATACCTAGTTACAAAGTATAGGTATTTACAGCAGACTTCCTGCAAATCCATCGTATCTAATAGGGCTAAAGATTTAAGGCCACTAGTGATGAACATGAGTTCTTGCATTATGTCATTATCATACCCATCATTATTTTTTATAGTTAGCAATGTCTTTATGTTCCATTTAACACACCAGAATTATATCATATGATTAAGAGCAAGAGGGATAATTCTACAAGTGCTTTTTAATTAAAGTATCAACATGGAAAGTAATTATATATTGTCCAACAAACAACACTGGCAACTCACGTCATTGATTGAAATTGTATAGGCACTGCCGAATCCAAATTTTTTTGATGAAACTGTACAATAGGTTGAGGACGTTGTAGCCTTAATGATATGCAGCCTGAAAAAGAAAACAGTTCAGACCATTGGTATAGCCAATTGTGTGTATATTATATATATAAAATGTTCCATGCCCTTTTCCTAAGGACAAGCATGTCTAAGATTAAATTAGGATAAAGAAAAACGCATACGCTTTTCCTCCTGGAACGGTGGTGTAATTGCTGGCATCAAGAGGAGGCAGTACTGCAACAGCCTTGTCATCCAGAGTAACGTTGATATCAGAAACATAATTGTTTATGAACCTTTAAAATGCAAGAGTGATTAAATACTACACAAAATATGCATAAGTCAAAGAATACAGATTTTACTTTTAATTGGCAGAACAACAAGGATCAAATCTTCCCATTTAATAGTTTCTTTCATGTCACTTAACATTTTTTAAAGAACTCTAAATCTCTTTAAGTGTAGCTAATACAAAAAGCAAGCTAGACCCCCATCAGCCCACTGCCTTCTTAGGAAAACATCAAAAGCAAGCCACTACTACAACCAATAGAAAATGCATTGGCAAATGGAAGATGTAGGAAAAAAGGGAGAGAAGTAGGAGGATACTTCTCATTCAAGTCTAAAAAGGAGGTATAGACATGTAATCTGTGCAGTTAATCAATAAAAAAGTCTAGGCAATGGAGTGAAGTACGTTTGTGATTTTAACTAAATTAAACCCAAAGCAGATGTGCAAGATAGCTAAAATGAATCACACCTCAGAAGTTCTTACACACCCTAAACATCAAATGAAGTATCCAGCAAGAGGTGAGTTCCTACAGTATAGATAACTGTGTTAAACAAGAGTCCACTCAAAGACAGATTGAAGAGATAGTCACTGTACTGTCAGAATTTAGAAGCAAAACAAACTCTACCTGATGAGATTCTTTCCTTCTTCTGGTTTCGATGTAACATTGTCAAACAGCTGGTGGAAGAGACCATTATCAAAATACTTCATTGGCATCAGTGAAGAGCTTTAATATGCACTATTACATAGCACTGGGAAATTGTAACAGAGACTTCAGAGCAAGACTTCAGACCTTCAACTTTAGGAACCTACTGTAATGCATGTTTACTAGAAAACTCTTATGACCACACATCTAAATCTTGGGGAAAGAGTAATCATCAAGGTAAATAATAAGTTGGTAATTTTTTCTAGGTTTTTTTTTTAAATGACATCCTGGCCTGCTCTCTACAGCTCACCAGTCTTACTGGTACAGCAGAGATGGGGAGAGATAGAAAGTAAGACAAAAGAGAAAGCTATTCAGAGCTTGTCCTCTCAGCTTCACACATTCCACATAGATAGCTATCAAAACATCAATGTATATTTCAAGAATTAAGCAGACTTACCAAATCAGAATCAATGCCTGTTCCAAACACTTGAAATGCGAAAGTGTAACGTTTTCTCTCTAGCAGCCCCTCCAAAGATTGAGTTGTCTGTAGTGATCCAGAAGCTACATCTAATGATTGCAGCTGAGAAGTCTTAAATATCATGTAGTCCGTCTACAAAGACAAACAAATTGCTATGAATTTCTGTGCAACTGCATACTTGTTTACAACTTTGAGGGAGTGTTATGGACTCAGGGGTGTCAGACGTTTACACGTGTTATTTCTGAAGTGCCAGAGAGCATGAGCATCCCCTAACTTTCGTTTCTGTTCCATTGGATCATTATTTTTTTATTAATTTAATTTGTTACACAAGCTTCAAAGTTACAAAGGCCTTCCACAAGCATTATGGAAGAGCTGTTATACGTTCCTGTGTATTTCTTGCTCCAGACAAATCAGGCTTGCCACAACCATCAAATAAAATTCTGTTTAGCTACAGAGGCAGCACTAGCATAAGATAAGACGCAGCATTTTCCAAATAGCAACACCTAAAAGATGCAAATGCAAACACAAACTTCATATCTATGGTTTCAGTGTAACGTAAGTGACGTTTTAAATATTCTAAACATGTTTAATCAACACAAAATACTTAAAATATGAATAGACACAGTGTAGTACTAAAATTTGTTTTTATAACATTATTTGTTTTTTTATAACATATCTTTGATTTATAGGATTATAAAAAGCATTACAATAGATAAATTGATAAAAAGATTATAATAGGGAGTAGAGCATTTTATGCCCTTCATTTTCAGGTATAAACCATGGTTATATCAATTCCTTGTCAGTATACAGTTTGGGTGCCCTTATCTTCTCCTCATAGCTCTGTTTCCATATGGAGGAGAATGGAGTAGGATTTCTCCTCTTATACAGAAAAAGGACCTCAGGCTATCTAACATCCCTTATCAAAAACATCCATCAGCTCCACCACATTTTGCTGTCAACAGAGATATCAATGCTGTGTTGTATTACAACCTGAAGCTTAACATGTGATGTAGCCACAGAAAAAGCTCCTTGTTCAAGTAAGCCATCCCTTACAGTAATAGCAGTGACTTACTAGAGCTGAATGGACTTTTACTGAAGGATGGAGCATTGTTGCTGTTAAGAAATGGAATCTTTTTAATGAGAGTGAAGTTTTCAACTAGTTTAAAGTCACTGATAAGTTTATGAAAGTTTCTTGTCAAAATATTGACATAGTTACTATTTCTTCATTCACTGTGTTTTCAGTAACAATTCATTGTACAATACAAAGAAATAGTGAAATTACTTGAGGGGAAAAAATTAGGAAAAAAAATCAATTTTTAACCATTAATTAAGAATGACTGACTCCATTAGATTTTTCTAAACTTGCTCTTCCTCATCTGCCCTTACTTACCGCCTCCTTAGGTGCTACATCCACACTCTGAAGTTGAGGCTGAAACTGAACTGTTGCAGAAACACTACCTAAGTTCATTAATCTGATTTGTGTTTGTCCAGCTGCAGGGAAAACTGGAGTCGTTTTCTATAGGACAGAAAAAAAAGTAAAATCAGTGCCGTGAGTCACATGGAAAAATTACTGTAATTACTGTGATCCTTATTAGTTCATGTTGAACATTAGCATTTGCCTTACAATCTACAGTTGTCTGAGGGATGCAACACAAATAACAGGTTTTGTCACTAGTCTCACAAGTTGCCTGAGGAAAGAAGTCTCTCATCCACAACAATGCCTCCATAGCCAGATGTGGTCCTTCTTTGATCACGTGCTGCAGCACACTGCCACTACCAAGGCCACTCTGCAGTTCAAGCAATGAGCTTTTCCCACATCCTGTGGCTGCCTGGATCTGAGTTTCTTTGTGTCATGTTCTGACTTGCTCTCCCCCAGCACTGGTGCTGCTGAACAAGAAAGCATGTATGGGCACTGCCTGGTATGACAGCCCAAAGTAACTGAACTTCTGAAGACTCCACTTCCCACCATATCTAAGAGCAAATAGCTTCTACTCATGGATAGCAGCAAGGGCTGCAAGAGTTGTGTCTAGTTCAGTTCTGCCTCAACCTTTCCTCCCTTCCCATACTTCTGTCTGCTTCAGGTACATCATTCTGTCTCTTTAGGTACATCACACACACACAAAAAAACCCCCACAGGTCCATCTTTACCTTTCTGCAGGAGACTCTCATGCAACAAGCTGGGAAATTACAAGTTTTGATGAAGGTGCTGCCCAATGCCAGTATGTACGTACACGGGCACAGCTCTGGCCCTCTGAACAGAGCATTTGGGAAGACAGCCTACTATGCCAGCTGAAGGCCTGACCCTTTACTTCAAAAGGCAGAGTTGAATATATAGCTTGTTTCACTGTTGGACCCAGGCATTAATGAGAGAATTTTATCATTCCTAACTAAAGCTGTTAGTTTCCTGGAGAAGTTGTGGATGCCCCATCCCTGTAAGCATTTCAGGCCTGGCTAGACGGGGCTCTGAACAACCTGGTCTAGTTGAAGGGCATCCTGCCTGTTGTGACTAGATGATCTTTAAGGTCCCTTCCAACCCAAACCATTCCATGATTCTATTTAAGAGTTAAGCGCCTTGCCTTGATAGTGCATGAAGACAGGCAGGCACCTCTAGATAACTATTCAGATCTTGGGATGCAATGGATCACCTCCCAGAGGTGTTGCTAATGTCCCAGCTACAGGATAAACCTTACTCTGGCTCATGGCACCTCCCTTTGGGGCAAGGAAGGTTAGGCGAGATGAATCCTGCCTTAAACAAGTGTCATCTTTGCTCATGCTTATGATGATGCTTCCCAGACTGTCACACCCAACCTCCAGTCTAAATATCAGAAGAGATCAAACATACAAAGCAGTCCCATGGTAGGCCAAGCAAGTTTTCAGCTTTTGGTCTCAGACTGAGGTTGCTTTTAATGCGTGATTTATATTAATGGCAATGAAATGTTCTGCAGGATGGCGTTCATTGCTAGTTAATTTTATTATGCTAATCACGGTACTGCAATATACTTTAACATTTCCCATCCTTCTACTTCTGTGCTCGTATGCTTGGTTCCAAATTTAGGAGCCTTAGTTCACTTCCCCCCTAAACACACTTTGTTCTGTATTAACAACCAAATATTAATAGTAAATACTTGCATGGGGCTGAACTTACATCTATTTGCACTTGCAGGAGGGCAGCAGCAACAAAAGCCAAAGAGGCAAGGAACATACCAACAGTTATCTTCCTCAGGGGCCTAGTACAACAGCAAAAGACATGTGAGTTTTAAGAGAAGTGTGAATTCAAAGCTTCAGAAGAGTGTTTTTTAATTTCCACAGGAAACTTGGAAACTCAAATGGTCACAAGTATCACATTATGACCATTTGAAGGGCTGATACTACTACAGAAAGTGTTCTGCTAAGCTAGGTAAGCCTCAATTTATAGTTACACCATGAGGAAACGTGTCTTTTCTGCAGCATCTTAGTATAACCTGTTACTCTGCATCTGCTGGGCTCAAATACTGACTGAACATAGTTATTAGGTTCCTGAAGAAGTCTGTTTTGCAGGAAGAAAAACGCAAATCTAATACAGTTGTTGGCTTCACAACAACAAAGACACAGGTAGATATGCCTTTAAAGAGAGTAAAAACATGTCCATACTGTATGTTTAAATAATATTGAACAAAAAAAGTCAGGGAGATTTTTTGAATTAGAAGACATCTACTGATATTCAGTTAAGCTGCAAGGGTAAACTTAAAGTAGTTATTTTATTCATGGCAGCATTTGTCCAATGTAGAGTGTTCATAAATGAATGACAGTGTTTCCAGCACAGCACACACCTTAGATTTTTCCTAACTGTATGGAAAAACAACATTGCATCTTAGCTCTGTGAAAATTGCATTAAGAACTGTATTCTCTTCTGCCTCTCCAAGCTCTCTTGCAAGTGCTAGCCACCACTTCATTACTAACATTAAAAATAATATGTAATGCCCTCTGAGGATCCAGCTAGAAGTATTCAGTGAGCCAGAATCCTCGCTGGGACTGAAGAGGAAACACATGTCTCAGGTAGTTTTAAGCCCAAAACATGACACATAGTAATAATATATGTTGTATTTCTACTTCATATTCTTGAGGAAGGAGAGAGAGTAGACATAGGGGATGTGGAAAGCAGTAAAGAGCATCTCCTGCAATTTGTTCTTAACTGGAAAATATTGTTACTTTACTATTAGATTCTACTCTGTGGTGCCTCTGCATACCCCTTGCAATATTCTGTATTTCTTTACGTTTTAATTTCTTATAAATATTAACCCATTTTCAATACACTACTGTTACATTAGGGTTGGAAGCACCATTTAAAGAAAACACTAAAACAAGCCTCTGTTGAAGTCAGGTAATTACATCAACTTACGTAAAATTGATCTTGCATTTCTTGATTAAAGGATAAATAACAGAATCTACAATTGGGACCATTATAACAATCAGGATTGGATTCACAATCTGTTGAACATGAGAAGAGAAAAAAATTACGTATTTTTCAAAGTACTTTTTTTTATTAAATGAAGGGCAATATTTAAATAATCTTTCAGAAAAAATCAGCTGATAGAAGATTAAATGTACCTGCATTTGGTCTGGTTGAACTGGAATTCCCTGGTGAAGAAAAAATAAATAGTTTTTAATATTATGACAACAAGTAACTGTTTGAAAAGCATTACTTATAAAAAAAAAAAAGGAATAAAAATTAACTTACAAAATCCCCATTCATTGCTGTGGCTTGCAGTGTCCATCTTGATCCCTTAATAAAAGAAGAGAAAATTAGATGTCATAGTAAATAGATCTTCCAAAGTTCCTCTTGAATTGTTTTTGTAAGTAAAGTGTTGGGAAAAACATGCAATACAACAAAAACAATAAAGCTAGCTTTGGGAGTATTCTTATTCTGCAACGTAAACATTTGAACAAAGTGATCCTCATGGTCCATTTAATTTCATTTACTTGTTATGTGAAATAGAGTGGAAAATAATTTAGATCCAGAAATTAGCTGGAGAGATAGCAGGGACATCCTGTGCAGAGCACAGCTGTGTGCTGTGCATAGAAGTCACCCAGGCATCTGTGTGCTGCCTGCCTGAGCACAAGCAGCCCACACCTCCAATAAATCCATCCTTCCTTCACACAGCCCAGCAGTCAGCAGACCCTGAGCCCTCTGCCTCAAAAACCTGCCAATAGCCGGGTCAGGTGGGGCTGACTTCTACTCTGAGCCTAGGGTGAGACCAGAATGCTTATTGCTGCATCTGTGGTGAGAGCCTTTAACCACCTGCAATGTACCACTGTCCGAGATATGAGTTATTATTCACATAATGAGTATTTAGCTCTGAATTTCATAGCAGAACTACCTAATTGTAACAGGTTACATGGATCATTACAGCTCATGGGTACTGAAACACCAGGGCATAGGGAATCTGGACCAAACTTGCTATCCATCTGCATTGGATAAAGCTTTCAAGCCCAGACATTCTCTCAGATGTTCTCCTAAATTCATACTTCAATGCATAACTATGAAAGTTGCTTTCATGAGTCTTGAGTTCTCAGTTCACCAAGTGAATGGGAGTTATAGGCTTATACTTCTGCTTGAAGAACCCTGGACATTCATACAGACTGGGGAATGAGATGTTGGAAAGCAGTGCCACAGAAAGTGACCTGGGGGTCCTGGTCAAAAACAAGCTGAATATGAGTCAGCAGTGCCCTGGCAGCCAAGAGGGTCAACTGTGTCCTGGGGGGCATCAGGGAAAGCATCACCAGCTGGCCAAGGGAGGGGATTGTCCCACTCTGCTCTGCACTGGGGCAGCCTCACCTTGAATATTGTGTGCAGTTTTGGGCACCACAGTATAGAAAGATATTAAGCTCTTAGAGAGCGTCCAAAGGAGGGCAATGAAGATGGTGAAGGGCCTTGAGGGGAAGCCATATGAGAAGCGGCTGAGGTCAATTGATCTGTTCAGCCTGGAGAAGAGGAGACTGAGGGGACATCTCATTGCAGTTACAACTTCCTTGTGAGGGGAAGAGGAGGGGCAGGCACTGATCTCTTTTCTGAGGTGACCAGTGACAGGACCCAAAGAATGGCCTGAAGTTGTGTCAGGGGAGATTTAGGTTGGATATAGAAAAAGGTTCTTCACTCAGAGGGTGAAGAGGGCACTGGAAGAGGGTCCCCAGGAAAGTGGTCACAGCATCAAGCCTGTCAGAGTTCAAAAAGTGTTTGGACAATACTCTCGGGAGTGTGGTGTGTCTCTTGGGGGTGGTCCTGTGCAGGGCCAGGAGTTGGACTAGATGATCCTTGTGGATCCCTTCCAACTCAGCATATTCTGTGATTCTGCATTTATAACAGGGTGCAAGTGATTAAGCAAACTGGTATCCAGATCATTTAAGCCCTGATTCTCTACATCATTTGCACAAGGACCTAAATTTCATCTCACAACTGACAATGGAAGAAACATTAGAAGTAAGAAAAATTTAAATTCCTCTTTCATCCCGAATCCTGGTCTGATACAAAATTTGGAGAGGCCTCAGTCATTGAATCAGTCCTGGGCATGCTCAGATAAACTGAGATTACCCTGACCACAGAACATCCTGTAGTAGCAGGACTCAGTAACTACCCTTTTGCATCAAAACCAGGTTAAAGAATTTGTTTTTCTACCCTCCCATACACACCTTTTATGCCTGGTGACCTCAGAGTACAGATAGTGCACAGCTCTAATTACCAAGCCAAAAAATTTCTACTTTACCTGCTGGTCAAAAAGTGCCCAGAACATAGGGAGAGGGATGTAAAGGAAAAGAACCTTCAACACCATCTTAGTCTGAGCAATCAGTCGTTTCTGCAGCAAACAAGAATTACACAAGAGAAATTGGTTTAAAAAAAAAGAAAAAGGTAAGAAAAAAGACAGTTGCAGACTGCTATTCACAGCACAGTAACAGGCAGAGACCCACCACGTAATGTTTACCCACATACTAAACTTCCCACATTGCGGATACTTCTGATTATTTCTGTTAAAATAATACAAAGTTTGATTGTGGATGTGGGAAGGGCTGTGTGTGTGGAAGGGGACACTGGTATTAGAGAGACCTGATCTTCTTTGCATATACACTGATGGCAGCATGAGTTTTAGCACTTAGTGCTACATTATTTTTCTAGGAAGGAGACATTTGAAGGTCAGGCAACTGAGGAATTTCACATATGAGCAAAGCATACAGGCAAAATGAAAATGAAAGTGACAGGCTAAGGTTTGTGGTTCCATTGACAACTGGTCAAAGTAGATAGGAGGCAAGCGACATGGTTGGGGACAATGGGACACAAGGCTTCGAGAATCATGGTTACAAATTATACTGCGGCCAGAGAGGATGCAGTGTTTACCAACTTCAACTGAAATTCCAAACCATAATTCTTCAGTTTCATCCCAAGACAAGTATTATGGCCCTGTGTATTAATCATGAGAGGCAACAGCACCATTCCCATTTTTCCCCTCTGCAGTCATTAAACCAGCATATTTTGTTTGAAGACAGTTTACCAAGAGAAACAACAAGTTGAGAAAGGAAACTTGCTAGTTTCCTAACACAAAAACTTCCAAGTGTTTGTATTGGTTGGGTGAGGGAAAGTATTTTCTTCATCTCCCTTGAATTTCCCTGGACAGCCTATAATTACAGAGAGCACTGACACAGACACAGCTTTCCCCCACAGGAGCTGAGGTGATAACCTGCAACAGTAGGGGAGCCAGATCATTAGCTACTAAATGATGGAGAGGCCCAAAACTATTTGTCCAGTGCTTGAGGCAATGGCTCAGAGCAGACAGAGAGAAGCTGAGGATCAGGGAGATATCACAGTAGAAAAGGCTCAAACAGGACTTACGTCATACTTCTCATTTGCCCAGTCCAGCCAGTGCTCTCTCTTGGGGAACTCCTTGCTGCGATGCCGAAACCGGTTTTTGATGGCAAACTGAGGAGAGACAGAACTGTTTAATGGCACTACAAATATTTATAAATGCAATGAGCTGTTTTGTCATTTAAGATTATGCTCCCACTTCTAGTGTTTAGAGGGTGTTAAAGGTTACTTCTGTTAACTGCTCCAATCATCTATGGGAATATTGTATTTAAGGTGTCACACTGCATACCCAGTGGAGTGTGCACTTGGGATTAGGTGAAATGCACATCTGAGAGTAGTCTCTCTAAATGTGGGTTGATGCTGGGAGCTTGAAGACCTGTCTTCTTCAGAGTTACTTAGGTACAACAATAAATAGAGCAGTGTCATATGCACAGATTTTCAGAGGTGAGTGGGTATAAGAGTACATTTCAGTATAAGAAGCTCCATCTTGTGGATGTGCCTCACACCCTGACATTGAATCTATACGAATATCATCCCAAAGAACTCCCAAGATTTTCCACATGGAATAATATGCAAGGCTGAGATGGGCCTCAGGAGCAGCACTCTAAGCAATGGCCAAAGTCACCTGTAGAGATTTGGTTTTGACAGTGCTTACAAGATAAGCAATGGGCTAGACTATAAAAGCTGGAAGGGTTGCATGGAGAATGAAGAAGCCCATAAATGAAAAAATCCCCTGATCTCAAAGTTGAGGCACTGCAAAAATCTATTGCAAATCTACTCATGCAGATTCCATTCTCTTCCTATCAGGCTCACACCAATATGTAACCCCCAACTTCCTTAATGCAGTGGGAATTAATATACCTCTGCATTGTAAATAACATTCTTTTAATAAGCAATAAATATTTGCTGATAAGATGTACTGGTAGCTCTGCTCTTGACTCAGGTCAAGGCATGTTTGTCTCTTACTACAGGGCTGCAGAAAGGTGCACAAATGTGTAAGAAGTTAATCCCAGAAGCTGGGATAAGCTTTTACATATCACTGACATCTTACTTTGTTTCCTTTACGTATAAATTCACTTGTATAATTTGTGTATAAATCAAGATATACTTTTAAAAAGGCAGTCTAAACCTGGAGGTGTCATCAGTGAAAGAAACAACCTTAGAACCTTTCCTCGTATTATGACAGATTTCTGATCTAGGCGTGTTTACAGAACAGGTTTAAAAATTGCCGACAGTGATTTGGGGAATAAAATCAGTACTTACTCCAATGCATTTGCAAACTTGAAGCATTACATTTCCTTGAGGTTTAACTTTCTTGTACATTCTGCTTCCAGCTACAAACACAACTGTAACATGCAAACAGAAAACAAAGCAACTCAGAATTATATTAAAATAGTGGCAAATAATTTAGTATGAAAACTGTAATAGTTACGGAGTTAGATCAGGGTGGAAATAAGCCTCCTAATGAGCAATGAAATGGCCTATTCTCATGCTATGATACAGTAAAATAAATCAAATTAATACCAGCAGATGCTTCTATTTAAGACAAAAAACTAAATCTGGAAACTCTCAAGGTAAGCGCTCAGTGGGAGGTCAGCTTGATTGAGGGATGGTCAAAACTAGGACCACTTGGGACCTCGGCTCTGGCTTTATTGTACGGCTCCTTTTTAGGAGTTCAGTATGCAGCATCTCACATCATACAGGGACACGAGGCTCTGCCTGAACTGCAGGGCTCACCAAGGTGTCCTCTGCTCCCGTGCCCAGGGCACATTCCTCAGCCTCACCCTCCCACGTGCAGGGCAGGACACAGATAAGCCCCCACAGCCATCGTGCAACTCAGGCTGAGCGCACATGCAAGGTGGGGTCACTGGTAGCTGGGTGGGCTCCCGCTCAGAACCATGAAGGACCAGAATCACGAGGGATACTGTGGTACGTAATGGCACCCCCCAGTTTCTTGGTTTTTGTGCTGCAGCAGTCAGGCTCAGGAAGTGACCTGTAGCACAGCTAATAAAAATGCAGGTGTTTGAGAAATAGTGACATACCAGGTAAAGGATTTCTCCAGTGCAGGGACAATTACCTTATGCAGTTTGCATTCCTGGACTAGAGATAACTTCCAAAACACATTTTCTGAGAATTTTCACACTACTTTCAAAGATCTATTTATATATCCCAGTAGTCCAAAATATATAGACAGTAGTTTACAAAATAGATAGAATTAAAAGGTATATTCATGCCTCTCCCCAGCCTGATCAGTCTCTCCTGGCACATCACTCTCTTCTGGAAAAGTGAGTGCTTCAGTTTAATTCCACTCATGAAAAAAAATTTAAGTCAAAAAATGCAGAAATATTCAGGTCTTAGTAGAGGTATTACCTGGAGATTTCTATTACTTTTTCATTATGAAATCATTATCATCTAATCACTGAAGTAGCAAGATGGCAACAGAACCACTTACGCAAGGCGACAGCCATGAGGATAGCAGGAATTCCAAAAGCTAGCGGGTAACATCGCTGTTTGGTATGAATGCCACACTCCGTAGCTGAAGTACAAAGTAACATTAGATTAAAGTCCCAGTCAGCACTGCTGATGTTTTACATATGATTTCTGTACTTCACATTCACTGTTTACTCATGGGGGAACAACAAACCTCTCTGCTGACATCCACAGAATGGATGATCAGTATCCAAATTAAATAATTCTGCTTTTCAATAATAAAAGGTATCACAGAAAGGTTGAGGTTGGAAGGGACCTCTGGAAGGGAGTTTGATCGGGGGTGGGGGGGAGAAGCTAGCTTGCAGCTAACTAATGTCTTGATTTACTTGTATTAGCCTTTTGGTTGAACCTTTACAGTACGTGGCAGTTTATCACCTTCCTCAGCTGAATTTGTCTTTTTTTCTTCCAAGGTAGTTTTCACCCTCAATCAGCAAGGAAGTAAAGTGCATATTGTGCCTCATGCACCTCTAGTTCCTTTTTGGCAAAGGACAGAATTTGCATTAATCAAACCTCTCAAACATGTCTACACAGCCTTCCAGTCAAGAAATCCAAAGGTCAGAATTTCAGCCCAGTGCTTTAGGGTTATTCCAGAACTCACATGATGTTTCCTTTTTTTTTGAGAAAAGCCTTCCTCAAAGGCTTTCCTTCCTGGCAAGCACATCCATACAGCACCATCTGTGTAATCTTGCCACAGAATTCCATATGCAAATCGCTTGCTTTTTGTTTAGGGTCGTGTTATTATTTATAAGCAGAAGAGAAAATAACTTTCTTCTTCAACAATATGAGAAGTTATTTACCTTGTCACATGGATAAATGTGTTACTACATGTATTGTTGCTCCTGTACTTAGCATGGACACACTTCAGAATACCCTTCACTTTCAGAGGAGAGGGCTCTCTCCCTGCTTCCCTTCCCAGCAAACAACACAACTGTTTCTAGTGGGATGGTTTTAAAGGTATTGGAAGAGGTGACACATTTGTATTTTCACAGAATTAAAACATGCATTAAGGAGTACAAGTTGTCTGCTCCAGCATGTCTCTTCGGATCTCGTACTTCTGATCCTAAAGGCAATTCAGGTCTCAGACTGGCTTGGTTTTGACAGTACTTTGCCTGTAAGAAGTTGAATGACACGCTGAAAACTATTTGCTAGACAACTCCGGTGTGTCAGAGAACAGAACTTAAATTCAGACCTAACTAGACTGCAATCCAACACTCATCCTTTTCTGATGTTTGACTGTTATAAACAAATGCATGGCCTTACCTCTGAGATTTGGGGTGACTATAGTAGATATTAGACTTCCAGCATTAATGGACAAATAAAAAAGAGAGAAGAAGGTACTTCTTTGTTCTTCCTACAGTAAAAACAGAAAAATGTTTAGAAAGGCTTAGCTGGAACCACATTGATGAGCCTAGATTGTTAAATCAGCAAGTCTGTTTTCACATTTCAAGACAATTAGTTAAGTATCTCCTTCTTCAGCTACTCAGGAAACGCTGCAGTAATGCATATGTCTAAATATGTACATTATTAGAGTATTATAATAGTAAAGCATTAGTTAGAGCATCTGTATAACTGAAAATCTGAAAGACACTTACCTGATCATCTTCAAACTGATCTCCACCAAATGCTGACACACAAGGTTTGATCCCACCAGTACCAAGTGCAATGAGGATCAAGCCAATCATGGACAGGGCACTGGAACAAAGGAGAAAAGAAAAAAGGGAGGGAAAAAAATCACTTTGTTTTCTTTCTGAAAGCATAAATACTAGACTGATTGAAAGACAGCTGAAATTCAAGTAGCATAAATTTAAGGTGTAAGATGTCCTGTTAATCAGCCTGGAAAAAAACCCAAAATGTGTACAAGGCAACTCACATGTGCAGTGGTATGTTATCAGGAGAGCCATCCCGGTTGTGATCCGTCAGGTCATTTAGGGAACCCACAGACAAGATTGTCTGTCCAATCGTATAGATAATGGACAGGGAGACAATGGTCCTGTTGCAAAGAGAGGAGATACGGGGTTTTTTTTTTAGGTATGTTAATATAGTTACACACATAAAATGCACACAGATAATGCAGGTTACAGAGATAAAGCAGAATTTTGCTTGTTTCAAAGATGTTTAGTAAAGAAGCACAATTAACACATACAATAAGGACTGAACTTGTCAAAAGCTACTGTAAAAATTTGTCTCCACACCACTGCCACAGTATTCTATTCTACTTTTTTTATTGTTATTATTTTAGGTAGCCTTGTTTAAATAAACAAGGTAAGGTGACAAATGGATTCTCTAGATATGACGAGGTCATGGGAGATATTTAAATATCTTCAGTAGTTGCCTTTTTAATAACCAATTCAAGAATACCATTATTATATTTTGCATATGGTGAAGTTTAAATGGACTACTCTGCAACACAAATATGCAACGTACACTGATTTTAATATCACTAAACATTCTCTATGTTACTTTATATTTTAGTTGCAAGAGTAAAAGAAGAAAAAAAATTAAAATCTACTTTAATCATGGAAATTACACCAAAATAGTGTCATGAACAACAACTCTATTCTCCCATTTGTAAGTGTATGAACATCTTCACACTCAGATTAGAGCAAGAGTAGCACTGAAGAACACAGGTTGTAGGTTTTCAGCCTGACTTCCTCTACCAGGAGGTGTCTAGGAGGGTAGTATAGCAGAATCACCAGCCCCCACCCCCTGCCTTTAGAGTCCAATCCTCTTTTCTACATGTAAAAACATTCTCCATTTTAATTTTGTTGGACCTTAAGCATGTGACTGTAGTTTAATCCATGTTCATTTGCTTCCGTGGGTGAGCCTCCATTCAACAGGCACAGACCCAGTTCTCCAGTTTGGAGTAAAAGCAGAAGAAATGTGATGCAGTGACAGGAAAGTATTTAAAAACCCAGTTTGCAGGAAAAACAGTCCCAAACCCAGTGCAATCCATGACAATGAAGGGCAGGCTCCAAGACCTAGGACAAGTCAACTCTATTTGACAGAGGCCAGAGATCCTCACAGCAAGCTTGGAGCAGCACCCTGACACAAGAGGGACACAGACAAACTCTTCTCACTTTACAACAAAGTTTCTCTGACTTAAAACTCTCTTTTCTGTAGCAGAATAAAAAAATCTATAAAGTGGGGTAACAGCCAATCTGCTGTTTAGTGATATTTAACAGATAAAATAGAATTTTTTTTTAAACAGCACTTCAATTTCATTACTTTAGTTGCCTAACAGCTTGGGAGAAAGTTTACAATTGTAAGTTAACAGGTACCAAAGGAGAAGGGATGCAAGGTCTGCAAAGCTTCATCTTGATAAAACAAGTAAAAGCCAAAATGGATTAAAAAGAAATAAACCATCCCATCTAAACAAGCAAGTGCACAACATACTTAGGCTGCAATCTGCAATATATCCAGCTACTTGCCGTGAGTTCACACTGCTCAGACCAGCTCCACAGAGCACACAGGGCAGCGGTCACAGTCCTGGGCTCCCCAGGGCTATCAGCACAGCAGAAGATGGTGCAGCTGACTGCACAGCACAGGCAGCTTCATCTCTCATCTCTGGGAGACCTTTGACAAGTCAGCTAATATTCATGACTCATAACCTTCCATAAAATCTTTATTGTGCTTTTTTTCAGGCAGAGTAAACACTATTAGAATCAAAACATTAGTAAAGGAGAGCAAGATAAGGCTGTTGGAAATAATCTGGTTACCTTTCAAAGAACTTCAGTGGTACTTTCCTGAACAACTAGCCCACAGGTGAAAAACACAGAATATATGATTTAAAGACAGAATTGCTACTCAGTAGGAACTCTCACTGAACTGTCAATTCAGTAGTATTTTATACTCATACGGTATTTTAAAACTTTTGCTAAGTCCCAGTTAATTCACTATTTCATTGACCACCTGCAGTAGGTAAAGAGGCTGTCCAATGTAACTATAATCTCCAGTATCTATTTTCACAGCTTGGTGAATACTTTCCTTAGTTTAGCTTACATTTTGTCCAGGTGAGAGGAAAAACATGCAGGATGCTGGGAAAGCATGCTACTACCCTCAACTGATTAGCAGAACTGGAACATTTGTTAATTAACAGTGCTATTTCAAGTCTGAGCTCAATCAATTAAAAACTCAAGTTCTGGTCAAATAAAACAAACTATCCTGGAGTAGTCAACATCAGCTCTGAAGGTGTTCAGAGCTGCTGTTTTAGGTGATGGTTTATGTAACACTGATTTCAGGTGATCTTTCAAGACTTTTGTTTGTTTGTTTGTTTTCTGAGAAAGCACTCACTTAAACTTTCCCAGCCAAGAGTCCGCAAGGACTGCTCCAAGGATAGGTGTCAAGTAACACAGGGCAACAAACGTGTGGTAGATGGCAGTGGCCAAGTTGTCATCCCAGTGCAGGAAATACTTGAAATACAAAACGAGCACAGCTGTAGGAAGACGAACAAAACAATGGGTTAGAAACCAAAGTCAGGGTCAGGTAATACATGGTCAGCACAGGGAGATACAGGACATACCTCGCATGCCATAGTAGGAGAACCGCTCACAGAACTCATTGATGATGATGAAGAAGATGCTCAGAGGGAAGCCAGAGCAGATTGACTGGAGGCAAGAGACAGACAGTGTGAGGTCAGAGCTGTGCAACACAAACTAACACTGCTCACTGCAACGCACAGCTTAAGCAAGGTTAATATGAACTCAGTGGAAGTGGATGGGTACTCAGGATCAGAAGGCTGCATGTGCTTCTGGGGAAATGACAATGTTTTACATGAACCAAGAGTCAGTTCTCACTTTTCCCTCTTGGTTCCCAGAGCTTTACACACTGCTCATCTGCCCTTTGCAAGAGATCTTTAGCAATGCTATATCTGACCTTCAAGTGTACACGTTTGAGGTCTCCAGCACCTAACCCTTAGAGCAATCTTGATTGGTATCTAAAAATATGCAAAAAGCCAATGTTTATGAAAAAAAAAAATAATCCGAAGCCAACACAAAACCCACAGCACACCACACTTAGAAGCCTGGGGTTATTCTTAAACACTCGTAGCTGAGAAAAATAAACGTTCGAACTTTTCGTTCAAGCAAATTTTTCAGAAAAACTCCCCATCCTTAAAAATACTCTGCTTGAAGAATTCTTTATTTCTTCAGACTTGATAGAACGGACTTCATTCCTAACCTGAAATGGTATGGCATTAGATGCCAGATTTACTGAACCTTCACCTGTTGCAACAGGCATGTCAATGGTCAGAGTCATGTAGCTCGTGACAGAGTTCTTGCCATTAAGACAAAAGGAAAAAAGCATACATCAGGTACAAATCTGACATTATCAGTAGAATCTGAAGTTGAATTTCTGATCCTCTGCTTTTCTTCGTGGATGAATACATGATATCATTCCTATTAAAATGAATGGGAATGCAGTGTAAACATATTTCTTCCTTACAAATTTTTTTTTATTGGTTTAATTCTGCCAGTAGCAAAAAACTAGATTTTAATAAGTCTCAGAATATTCCAGAGATAAAACAGCTCTTTACCATGCTTCTTAGGTTTAATTGAAAAAATAGCATTGCTTGGATTGCAAGGGTTCAGGAATTAAACCAGTATTTCACAGTAAACAGAAAAAAGTTAACTTTGTAGATCAGAAGGAAAGAAACCTTACATGGGGACATCCTGCCTGACAATTAAATCAGAGAGTCCATGTCTCCAGCAAAGCTGCAGTGAACAACATAAGACTTCAAGACCTGCATGCCACAGCAGGTTTTTTGTGAATACTTCAAAAGAAGTGAAAGTGGCAAGAGCATTGCTGACATATCTGACCCAGTCGTGAGGATGTCTGAGCAGCCTGAACAGTGTTGATCTTTTTGTTACTAGCAGAACCAAGTACGTAGTGCCCATCCTACCCATGGTTTGATAAGCAGGCTTCACTGAAAGAACCCAGTGTCAGGTAAGGGCCAGTGGGACTCATCTAGCTGTACTGCAATCAAAATTTGAGGCATAAATATAAACTTGTCACTCTTGATTTATCACATCCTCCTTGGGCAGAAAGAGATGTCTCCAAAGGAAGATCATCCACATGTATCAAAAAATTAGTTACATTTCACTTGAAAGTGCCCATTTCTCTCAGCAGAAGAGGGCAGGAGCTCTGGATAATTACTTCCAAAGTGGACACAGCTGTTGGTGGAGCTCACGGAGACAAATGCTTCCTGCCCTTCCCACATACCATCGCCCTAAGCCATGCAAATGTTTATGCTCCTGAGGAGACAGATGGAGAACCACATTGTGAAGGTTTGGTTCAGCAGCCATGAGATACACCCAAGAGATTTTGATTTCAGCACATGTTAGGTTAGTCACTGAAATAGTAGCCCAGACTGCATGACTTGTTTCTGCCAGTGTAATTGGGAATAGCCCAGTTGGAGAGGAGAGAATGTCTGCTCCTGAAGTGGAACAAAGTCTTCCCCATGTCTGTCCTGCCCACAGAGGGAAAAGAGACAGAGCAGTCCTGGACCAGGAGCTGGTGGGACCCATCCCCACCAGAATGTCACAAAACCTCACTAAAATCTTTTTGACCATTTTGAGGTTCTCCCAAACATCCCCAGGGTTACATCATCATCCTACCCACCACCTTATTGTTTAAGAGGGCGTTACATGCTGGTCTGGGGAGTCACAATCCAGCAAGGCTGGATTTCTGTTTTAAGCCACTAGTGCTCATGTGCCTGGTGGAGACATGCTGCATTCACATGGTGGCACAGCAGCCACTGGTGGGCTTTTACTATTTGCCCCTGAACTGGAAGGGATCTGCGTGTCACAGCTGGAGCTGAGCAGGCAGGAGAAAGCTATTGGGTCTTTCCAAAGGTAACGAGCCTTCTTTTTTTCCAAGATGCTACAAGCAAGGAGATTATGCAATTAATCCACGATAATATATGACCTATACTTGT